CCCCAAAACCCCAAAACCCCAAAACCCCAAAACCCCAGAGGGTTTGCCTCTCATAGAATTTGATAAATAAAATAAATGAGTTATCTAGAAATGGAGCAGCCAGAAAATAATAAAACGGAAGAGCCTCAAATTATAAAACTTGCAGAAGTAGATGAGGCTGAAGACCAGAGTTCTAGTGGGCATTCCAGGTCAGAAGACGATGCTGAAGAAACTTACCCCAGTATCGAAAGTAAGTAGACCCTTCCTTTGTAGATTATTTATTAAGGTATGATAACATTCTAGATGGTAAAGTGAAGGTAGACGACAAGTCCCAAGCCGAAGCACCTACTGGTTCAGACCCTGAACAAGGTAGGCATCTTTCTATCTGATCCTTACTAATATGGAATAGAACAGAAAGAAGAGGAAGAAGAGTCTGAACAAGAGGACGAAAATGATAACCCTGTTGAAGCTAAAGATTTCATGTACTTTAAACGGCAGAAGAAATTTGAGAAATTCGTCTCCCAATTAGGCAAAAATAAACAAAGTTTTGGAGCACTTGAAGGTTTTATTGGCGGTGAAGTTTGTGAAGATGAAAAAGAAGAAACTAAACTGGAAAAGGAAATAGTTGGATTTGATACAAGATTTCGATACACTCGGGAAGGCCTTATGGTCTATGATGTATACTCTCAAATCACCCTTGATGCAAGGAGAGATGAGAACAAAGGAATCAGTGCTAAGGAGTATAACTTCTTTTGAAATTTCTTGCCCTCTAATTCTCATGATGATGAAGAAAAACATCATTGATATAGTAAGTTTAAATCATACAGTAATGCTCTTGCTCCTTTTGCAGGACTAGAGTTTGCAACCGAGCTAGGTAAATGTCTCTACCTCACTAAATTTAGAACGTAGAATATACGAATTCTTGCCACCATTTAAGCGAAAGAAGGAGCATCCAAAGGTGAAAGAACTTCTAATTCCAAACACTGAGAACGTTCTTTTCTTTAACAGTGAGTTTGAAAGTGGAAATCTTGAGAAGGCCATCAGGATCTCTGACTTTGAGTACAATCTGTACCTTGAATTTGACAAAAACTCCAGAAACCACACTCAATGGTACTATTTTGCATGAAGAAATGTCAAGAAGGTAGGGTCAAAATGAGTCTTATTCTTCTAGGGAATAACTGTTAAATTTAACATCATTAATCTATTGAAGGTCGACTCCTGATATAATGAAGGCATGAAACCTTGAGTTTACTCTAAGAAAAGAGAAGAAGTAACCAAAGTTGGTTGGCATAGGAGAGGATTTGATATTTCTTACCGCAGGAATGCCTCTCGGAAAACCCCTATCATCACTAAGGCTATAGATGAGATCAAAAATGAAGATATGAGGACAGAGTTTTACCACAGAATGAAAGTGTTACATACCTTGACATTTTCATATACTTTCGAGTACGAAGACGACATAGTGTTTTTCTCACATTTCTTCCCTTATACCTTCACAGACCTAGAAAGATACCTTGCCAAGATTAGATCCGACATAAGCACTAGGAAATTCCTAAGGGTCGATATTCTTTGAAAGTCATTAAGTAATAATCCCTGATATGCATTGACAATTACGAACAAGATAAAGACTTATCTTGGCAGCCAAGATGAGGCCATACTTCTTTAAGAAATCCAATGCTGCCAGAACTATGATGAAGAAGAAAATGGAGAGGATAGAAGCTCTTCAGACTAATATTAAAATGGCAAAGGAGACTAGCTGCACCTCAGCCTCCTCAGGGACCAAGAATTTGACTAGGAGAGAGTCCTCAATGTGAGTCAAGAAGAAAAAGAAGAAGAATCGAAAGGATGATGAATCTGACTCAGAGTATCCTGCTTTGAACCTTTTTACTGAGAAACATTTCGCGCCAAATGATAACTTCCCTAAATATATTCGGGACCATAAACATAAGAAGGGAATTGTGTTCACAGCCCGGGTTCATCCTGGAGAGTCCAACTCCTCATTCATCGCAGAAGGTTTGATAGACTTCTTGTGAGGAAACTCGAAGGAAGCTATTTTCTTGAGGAATAACTATGTGATTAAGATCATTCCTATGATCAATCCTGATGGTGTCATCTACGGGAACTACAGATGCTCTCTACTGGGTGTTGATCTGAACAGAAGATGGAATAAGCCGAGCAAAATCCTGCACCCAACAATTTACAATGCTAAGCAGATCATAAAGATGCTAGACATCGACAGATCAGTAGCGTTGTTCTGTGATATCCACGGTCATTCACGGAAATAAGAACGTGTTTATGTACGGTTGCTGTATTGACAACTTAGAGCATAATTCCTCGAAAGTGAATGACACCATTAAGTTGTTACCCTACATGTTGAGCCAGAAGAACAAGATCTTCAGCTTCAAGGATTGCACGTTCGCAGTTGAGAAGGAGAAAGAAAATACTGCAAGAATTGCTCTGTTCAAAGAACTAGAAATTATTAACTGCTATACTCTTGAAGCCAGCTTTTATGGAAGTGAATGTCTAGGCAAAATCATCATGGATACTGAAACTGAGTCTGAAACATCTGAAGAGGAAAAGGAAATCGACGATATAGAACCTGAAATCAAGATTCCTAAAGAACAGTATCTATTTCACCTAATTTTTAGAGATAATGACACTGAATCCAGCAAGAAAGAGACTCAGAAAAGTGAGGAGGCTCAAAAGGATTCCTCTGATAACTCTCCAGGAAAGAAGAAGAGGAAAAAGGTGATCGGTGACATCCACTTAAGACCTCAGCATTTGAAGAAAGTTGGAATTGATTTATTGAAAACTTCCTACCTTTTCTTCAACGAAAATATCAAAATTAGGAAACTTCAAAGCCTTCGAAGAATCAGTAAGCACAATTTCTAAGCCAATAGGGATGAAATTCACCAGGGCTAAATCTCTGAATAAGGTGAAGCAAGAGAAAAAGCCAGAAAAAAAGCCTGAGCAGACAACAGAAGCAATCAAGGCTAATGTTGCTATTAAAAGCCATATAAAGGCAATGTCTTCTCCATTGAAGGTGAAGAATGACTTACCGAAGATAAACCAGGATAAGAGCAAGACCTCTCATAAGAAGATGCCGAAGCCAAAAGTGAAGACTTATAAAGAGGATTCCATTTTAGGTACAGTCTTTGTGCTCATATCTAGAAATGAAGCCAACTGGGCTTGAGAATAACTTGGAAGGGTATGGCTATGAGTAATCTTTAGAATCAGCCATACAGGCCTGATGATTGAGAATAGGTATGACAGGGTTGATCTGATTAATACAAGCCAGTCTGCATCGAAAAATACACCTGATATAGCGACCAATGAAATTTCAGAATATTCTAACTTCTCCAATGACTCTTACAATATAAACTCAAATTACACTGCAAGAGACTTTGCAAAGCCTACTATGGTGGGAAAGATGTCCCAGGTGACCAAACTACAAAAGTTTAAAAGCTCCAAGAGCAATAAAGCTTCTAAAATTTCAACAATAAATACTAATTTCACAGTTGAGAGCAATAAGGTAAGTCCTTTGTTCCTGACCATAGACTGGATCAGGGAACTATGACTTACGTTCAAAAGACCTAATGAATTATTACTACAACAACAAAACGAATTCGAGCTGTATGAAGGACCCACGAATTGCCTACGAGGGTGAGAGCACCCAGCTACCTCCGTTAGGGCACACCACTTCTTCAAGGGCAGAGGAGAACACCTTGAAGGATTTCTCCAGTTCAGGGATAGACTATCACGCTACTAGTGAGATATACAAAGGGCTGTCTCAGCATAAATAAGAATAGCCACAAGAACACTTATTTCAGTATTTGGGTTCTAACCTTGTAGATAAAATTGATATCCAGAAGCCTAAGCCAGAGGAGACTAAGAAGTATCTAAATCCTTGATTTTTAGGAAGAAAAAGAAGAGAAATAAGTCCAGAAAGATAGTAGCGAAGCATAGGTCACGGTACTCTTCTACTGTCAAGAACTTCTCCAATGGCATCAGTAAGAGTCTTGCTGAGATTTTTAGGAAAATAACAGTATTTCACCACTGAACGAGGTAGAGAAGAATAATAGGACAGAAACTTCTTCTAAGAATATTCCTTATATAAATGAAACACAGGAAGCCTCTGTTACTGATTCAATCAAGCTGCAGTTTGTCAAACTACAAAAGTTTGGGTTCCCCATTGAGCCGGTTAACTCAGCTGGATATCTGGGGACCAGGGATTATTCTAATGTCTCACATATTTCGTATAAGGATGAAATAGACCGTAGTTATAATGCTTTTACAGGTATCGATGTTTATTCATTTGTAGAGAATCAAAAAGCCCACAGTATTAAGCAAAAGATTAAATCAAACCAAGGCATTCGTAAGTGGAGTAAATTAGAACAATCTTGACCTCTTTTTATAGGTAACCCAGATATGATGGGGAGAGCTAGGTCAATAAGACCCCTACCTCATTTGAACAAGACTAGGCCTGATGCAAGCAATAACATAAATTTGGCAATTAATGAGGGGAATAACTCGATCGTGCTTACTAATTACAAACTTCCGAGAGGGCCTTATCAGTCAAAGAGTGTGGCACGAGTCAAGAGATAGCTAAGAAATTAATGATAACATTTTCTTAAGAATTTATTCAAATTCTGATTTTAATAAAGTGGTTAATAATCATTTTGGTAATTCAACCCTCTACTTTAGGCCTGGGGTTTTGGGGTTTTGGGGTTTTGGGGTTTTGGGG